GGTACATCATACCTTGTATATTTATTTATCCTCTTTTTCATAAAATATGTATTACTTATTACCAAATTTCTTTCTACACATAGCTCAATTAAAGGCTCCAAATTTACCTACTACTCCCTCCATAACATTTTTACCCACTTTAGCATTGAAATCCCCAACCACCATTACTCTCACACTTGATTCAAAACTCCCCACGCATTCACTCAACATTTCCCAAAATCTCTCTCTCTCCTCTACACTTCTCTCTTCTCCAGGTGCATACACGCTTATTATAACCCACTTTTCACATCCAATCTTTATTTTACTCCACATAATCCTTGAATTAATACATTTATAGTCCCTCTTTTCCTGCCATAGCTTATCCTTCAACATTATTGCTACTCCTTCTTTAGCTCTAACTCTATTTGAAAACCCTGACCTAATCCCATTTATTCCTCTCCACTGAAACTCTCCCACCCCCTTCAGCTTTGTTTCACTTAAAGCCAGGACATCCAGCTTCTTCTCATTCATAACATCCACAATCATCTCTTTCTTATCATCTGCACAACATCCACGCACATTCAGACTTCCCACTTTGACAATTTTCTTCTTGTTATTTGTGAGCAACATAATTTTTCTCATATAATGTGCAAATCTGTGAGATAAACTTTTTGAAAAGTCAGAGCAGTATTATATACAAAAATATAGAGATCTGCATCTCCACATTTGTGACTATTTTCAATTGTATTGAAAGTGTTATATAGAGAATACTTGAAAAGTGGGAGAGGCTTTAAATTTTTATATCCATTATTGTAGCAAATGTAACTTGAAAAAGAAATCTTGTTGCTTTGTCTCATGCACATTACAACAGGGGAGGAAATTTTTGATTGGACATTAAAGGAAATAGTATGTACATGGTACAGTGAATTGAGATGCCTGAGCAATATATCACTTCTGGGAGGAATAAAAACTTCAAATACTGTAAAGGTTAAATGTATTTTACAGTATCATAACAGGCTTTGTGCACCTATATACTTTTGGAGAAGTGGTGGAAATTGTTAGACCAGTAGAATGATTGATTTTGCTATAACTAGCTCTCTAGGTTTTAGAGCCTTAGAAGGGATTCAAACTATTTTGAAATGACAGTGTTTTGTCTACATTATGTACTCTATGTAAAACTTTTGCCACAGCACTGACTCCAGTGTTTATTTTATGTTGCAGTTTTATAGCTGCACACTTTGTATACTTATAATATTAATATTGAAATACAAGTACAAACTCTGTATTTCATAAGCTCATAATTTAATTCTGTCACAGTCCTCCCTCCTCTGATTCAGTGTAACCTGATAGGCCCAGAATTATTTATTTAGGACCAGGTGTAAAGCTTTGTGATCCCAAAACAAATCCTTTACTAAATCTATAGGGGTCATGTGGCATCTTGAGGAATGGGAAATAATTGGTTTTGATTCAAGGAAAGGGAAGGTAGTTCCAGTTCTTTAGATCAAGAGCCCTTTATTGGCACCGAAGGACCTTCATTAATCGGTCCCTTATTCAAAGGAATATAATTTCTTCACTAGTAAGTTTTTTATTATTATTATTGTTATTACAGGTCCGCCATCACAAATCCGGTAATCAGTTATTCGGTTCCTTCAGTTATTCGGCACTAATTTTGGCAAGCATAATTTCAAATTTCCAGGGTCGCCACACCAACCTGCTGGTACTGTTTGGTGGCGCTACTTGCTGCATAAGTCATTCCAATTTCTTTTTCTCCATTTATTGTTATAACCTGCTTACTTTTAGCCCTAGCCATGGTTCCAATGAAGAAAAAATATGCTTCTCATTATGTAAAGCACCGACACAGTACATTATCCATTTAAAGATAAGGTGGCTTTGAAGCCACTGTCGGTTGTCATGAGCTCACAGTACATTATCCATTAAAGATAAGGTGGCTTTGAAGCCACTGTCGGTTGTCATGAGCTCAGTCTCATGATGCAGGAGAATATGCTTTATTATTCTGCTAATATCAACACTACAGCTTAATTGCCTATCACAAATGATCTAATATGACATAATAAACAATATAAATAACATAAAACATGCTAAATACTCCAGAATAAATAATATTTGGCATAACACCGAACAGTTCGACGGAGGTATGAAGAGGATATGGTATACAAATACCAATCTCCTATCCCTTATATTAGAGAAAACGGAGTGTACCACAGGGCTAACTGTGATACACACTCGTACTGCACCATAAACCTGAAACAAAAAAGTTATTTTCTCTATATAGATTATCACATATAGCAGCATATGTGTAGAGAACCTAGGATAACCCAAAAAAGTCAATGTGGCTTATTTCAAGTACCTGGCTTGGGTTAGCCATAGTATATGATTTTTGGTAAATATTCGGTTCCCAGCCAGAGTAGAAACATTAGGCGTGTTTCTTTACACCTGTTGTCCATGTTTACCCATCAGTAAATGAATACCTGGGTGTTAGCCAACTAGTGTGGGTGTTATCCTGGGACACTGACCTAATTTTCTTGAAATACTCTGCATAACAAGCGGCTTTCTATATAGTAGTATGTCACTGATGTCAGCTAGGCCTGTGTACCTTGTACATGTAGTAAATAAAGATATTATTATTATATTATTTTCTCAGTTGTTTGTTGGGTTATCTTATTGAAACTTGGGCAATGTATGATGGAAAGATACTTCTTAACCTACACCAAAAATGAAAGAAATCAGACCATAAATAGCGGAGTTCACTTCTCGGCTGCTGAGCGGTATATTTTTGTATGGTTTTTATGGTTATATTCTCATTTTTTCTGTTTCATTTGATAGAATGAAAGATATATTACAGAAATAGATATGATTTTGATTGCTTTCATGATGAAAAGTACCTTGAAATTGCGCTCACAGTAGCGAAAATGTTCTATTCTTTAGCGAAGCTCAAGAGTAAACAAATGACGTCACCGTCCAATACCTGTCAGCCTGCCAGTCCAAATTCCAATACGGAGTCAAGAATGGGTTGACATTATTTATACAATTATTACAATAATGCAGTAGTCTGCATAACACTAAATCTTCTATTTTTTTGTGAATAAAAATTCCAAATGGTAAGCAAGAGTAATATAAGAGGGGCCTGTAGTCGTGACTAATGAACAGAGAAAATGTTATTTTAGTGCCAGGAATGTCTACATTGTTTATTCAGGACCCTATTTTGAAATTGGCATCTGTTGAAATTTGTGTGAAATTGGCCAAATTGCCAATTTCTGACCACTTTATTGGGTAGTTGAAATAAGTAAATTAGTGGTTTCTTGTACTCAGTTGACAGACTAGAAGTAAATAAGTTTATTCAGGTATACACAAATACATTTAAACAGATTATCATACAGAGCAGTGTGTGTACAGAGAACCTAGGATAACCCAGAAAAGTCAGACAAAGTGACTTATTTCCAATACCTGGCTTGGGCTTGCCATATATGATTTTTGGTAAATATTTTTTTTCTCAGTTGTTTGTTGGGCTATCTCATTGAAACTTGGGCAATGTATGATGAAAAGATGCTTCTTAACATACAACAAAAATAAAAAAGACGGACGATAAATAAGGGAGTTCACTTCTCAGCCATTAGCCGCCTCTTTGCAGTATACTTTCGTATGGTTTTTATGATTGTATTCTCATTTTTTTGGACTCGTTTGATAGAATGGAAGATATATTACAGAAATAGACATGATTTTGATTGCTTTCATGACGAAAAGTACCTTGAAATTGAGCTCAAAGTAGCGGAAATGTTCGATTTTTGCCGTTGTTCAATGAACTTTGTGCAAGTCAAGTTGGTTAATATTATTAAGTGTATTCTAACCTAACCACTCTATAATCCGGCAGACTCAGTAATCCGGCAACTACAGGTCCCAATGATGCCGGATTTGTGATGGAGGACCTGTATTATCGTCAAAGTGCAGTTAGGAGAGTTTGTTTGGCACTGCTACATACATGAATTTTTACTGAAAGGCGATTCCATGAAATTAGATGGATCATAATGTATCAAAGATTTTTTTTTTTATCTATGTGATTAACTGTGCCAGAGTTGGCTTTTACCAGATATAATGTAATGTTGTTTCTTGGGTATTGTAACCTTCTCTTAGTAGATCTTCCCTCATCCTTAATATATTTACCATTGAAAGTGATTTGTGTATTATTAATATCACCCTTTATTTTAATGTGCTTAGACTCTGAACTTTAATTTGAGAATTACATTATTTATATCTCTTCCTACTCCTATCTTCATCCTTTGTTCCTGTATTGAACAAAAGTATTTTCTTTGTGCTCCTATATAAAGACAAAGCTTTCTTAACATGTATCCTTATTTCTAGATTAATATAAGTAGTTGATGCACAACATAGTTGAAAGTACAGCAATTACATAATAAATCTGCCATAGTACAGCAATTACATAATAAATCTGTAGTTGTGAAATAATTACATCAATTTGGAGGTACTCTTCATAATAAATGTGAACCCCTTCAAGGGATTTTCCTTGCTGCCATGAAGGGATCCTTAAACCAAGAAATTGGACTACTTCTTCCCTTCACTGGAACAAATCTAAATACTACCTCCCAAACTTTTCTCTTTTTGGCTTCTAGATGGAATGAGAATCACTATCGGCTCTGATCTAATGTAGCTTCTGTTAGTAGTGCTGTGATGGTGGTTGCTTCACCCCATGGAAACTGAATCATTGTAGAGTATGTCAAGTGACTGATGGAACATCAGGCAATCATGATGGTAGAAGTATTACTAGAGGTTGCCTGAAGATCCAAGTGCTGACACTGGCATTCTTTTTTGGTAGTTTTGCTAATCCTTGCTTAGTCAGTTCTCGAGGTACCATCAGAGATGCCTTCAAGAACCTTAACAGAATCTTTTAGAATATATGGTACATAACATGTCAGGCCCATCATAAATTTTGCAGCCCACATCTGATCAAGCATGTCCAAAAGCTTTAAAAACCTAGAGGTTTGCAAAAAAAAAAAAAAAAAAAAGTCTCAGGGCTAAGGGGATTAAGCTACAAGAGATTAAAGGAACAACCTATTGACCTTAGAAGAGGTTTAGTGCTTAGTTTGTATTATAATAATAATGACCTTAGAGAGAAGAACCAGAAGAGATATGGCTATGATGTACAAGATACTCAGGATATGACAGAAAGGACAGGACTAACCTGAACAATGAAATGCAAGAAACTTAAAAGAGGGAACGTAGATGGAAGCTAGAAACCAGATAAGCAACAGTGATATTAGGACAGCAAATACTGGAATGAATCTGATGAGAAGTGAAGGCAAACAACATGCACAGTTTTAAGAGACAGAGGCCAGGAACTGAGACTCAGCCCTGGGAAAAACAACTTAGCTAATACACATACACATGCATTAATGCACTCCACTCAAGTACACTTGCTCTTGCATGATAACACTCCTTCATTACTACTAACAATCTAGTTGCAGCACTTAGTTTTGAGAATAATAAAATGGTACTATAAATGAATTTTTTTTTTTATCTTAAATAAATGAATATGGAAAAATTTCCAATTTGTATCTTTTTTTCATCCATATTATGAAGATAAGGGAAGAAGCACAGGTATTATACTATTATGATTATTACAAATAGACACCTAACACAAATGAACTCCTGCCCCTTGACCTCCAGCTCGAACCATTGAGGAGAGGAAAGATGCATAAGTAGCTGTACCAGTTACAGCTCCTACACTGGCAGGGTTACTACGGATTGTCTTCACAGTGAAGTTTTTCCCAGCAACCTCGGGGCCAGTCACCTCAACTTCAACTATGTGCCAGTCTGTTAATCTAGAAATAGAGTTGAAAATTAGTGTGTGAGAAAGAAGTTCACTGAATAATTACCCTATCAAGTGGCATGCATTTCTTTGAACTTATAGTGGTTATTTTACAACACTGTACACCCTTGTGGGTTTAGCACTTAGTTATAATAATAATGCAATACTATACAACCCTTTTGGGCTTAGGGTTTAACTTGATTATAATTTAAAATACTGCATTATTACCCTACTGAGGAAGTGCCTTAATTCTAGTATAAAAGGCTCTTGCTCCAAAAAACTGGAATTACCTTCCCTTTCCTCAGATTAACCCCGAATTCCTTCCAGTCACAAGTACTGTACAACGCTTACATGTTTAGTGTTTCATTATCATAATAAAAATATATAAATATACAGTACAGTGGAACCTTAGTTTTCGTATGCCCCAGTTTTCGTAGAATTTGGTTTTCAACTACTTTTTTTGTTGAAATTTTGTCCCAGTTTTGTACATCTGCTCGGTTTTCGTGAGTTGAAAATGGCCCATACCTAATGCGTCCGCGTGACTCAGCCAATAATCTGTTGTTTTTTGTGCTTGCTTATTAAGTGTGACTGCTAAATAAGTCACCGTGGGGCCAAAGAAAGTTCCGAGTGCCAGCCCTTTGATAAAGAAGGCGAGAAACACGATAGAATTCAAGAAAGAACTTGTAGCAAAGTATGAAAGTGGCATACACATGTTATGTAATGTGTTTTTTATATAATTTTGAAGAAAATATCATAGATGGATTAATGAAAATGTTTATATTAAAGTAAAATAAGACATTTGATGTGCCCAAGAGTGATTATGATTAGTATTATGTAATGTTTTTCCTCTGCTCGGCAACCACACTTCCATAGCATATAAATACAGCATGCATATATGCCAGGTGGAGGGAAAACATTACATTTTTTCTGGTCCAGCACCAAAGAAAACGTGTATGAATCTGCGTTTGGCCTAGTCCCTCCTACTTTTGTTTACAATTCTCGGCATGAATTATTCATTACTTCTCCCTTCGTTTATGATGGCATCTAAAGGGAGTTGTTAGAAATGATTAAATTCAGTGAACAAGGTATGTTGATGGTAACAACATGGCTCTGGTGCGCAGTGTAGGTAGCCAGTAAGTGTAGCCCAGGTGGGTTACACCTACCGACTTTTTTTCAGGAATACACAAATAGTTACATAGAGTATCATACATAGCGGCACATGTGTAGAGAACCTAGGATAACCCAAAAAAGTCAGTGACTTATTTCCATTGGGGTCCTTATTATTTCCTACACTGACTTCCTACAAATAAATATTACTCACCTCTCATCCAACATTAAGATGGATTAATTGGATTTACATTATTTCTTATGGGAAATAGTGGCTTAATTTTCGTAGGATTTGGTTTTCGTCAGACTTTTTAGAACGGATTAATCACGAAAACTGAGGTTCCTCTGTACTGTAATTGCAAATTAAAGCTCACTACCAAGGAGCGAATAATTCACAATGAACCCACAAATCAGAAATCGAAACTAGAAGACTATGAAGCTATTTATTGATAATGCTCCAGAATAGATTGAAATGTCCAGCTTCCATTTCCGATGTGTAAATTAGATATGAATTACGGGAAAAAACAAAAATGACAACTTGCAGCGGGTTAGAGATGAGGCATCCTTGTACACCATCAAAGCCAAGGTTGTGAGCAGCCATGGCAGCAACAGCCATAGTATTGACATTGTTGGGTGCAAGATGACACAGTTGTCGTACTGGTCCATCATACAGAGTCACCTGCTTACTACCACTTACTAGTGCATTTTTCACTTGTAGGTCTCCCTCAAGTTTAAAGCAACTTGGATGCTTTGTCATTGTAACTTTCAGGGCCTAAAATAATAAATACAACATTATTTTACATTACTAGCTCTGCATAGTTAAGGTATCAACATGCATAGCCTTTCAGTCAGTCTTAAGCTATGATTAATGATAATATAACCAAAGATACTGGACACTTTTATAAATGTAATACACATTACAATACAAAATTATTTTGTCAATATTTAGTTGGGTACTCCACCGAGTTTGGTGTTTAATTTAAAGTGTAACAATATGAAGTGGGTTATGCAATGGAGATAGTCTTGGTGTGCAAATTGTTATAAAAAAAATTAAGGTAAGGTTGGATTAGCTTGTAAACCAGCTTATCCCAACCCAGCCTAACCCAAAAACCCACTTAACAATGTAAAGGCTGTAACAGCAAAACTCTAAGCATAAAGCAATCCATGTTTCACTTCCCCTTCATATAATTCAACACAATAATAAAAAAAATGCCTTTTATAACAATTTGCACAAGAAGACATGAACTCCATTATAAAACCCACGTAATATTGAATATATTAAACTATGAATTATCACCAAACTTGGTGGGACTTCTAAACTAGATTTATGCCACTTACATAGTATTGCAATACATTAAGTTAAGATTTAATATATAATGTTGAATTGAAACTTCATTCAAAGAGGATTGAAAAGCAAAGTTAGGCATCTTTAACTCAACATTAGTTTTAGGAAAGTTACCCATCTATTCACTGTAAACCTCTCATGGGAGGTTCCTTGATGCTGGTGAGGGGCTCCTGATCTAGGGAATTGGATCTGTGCTCCAGTTCCCTGAATTAAGCCTGAATACCTTCCATCCCCATCCCCACAGATGCTGTATAATCCTACGGGTTTAGCGCTCCCCCATGATTGTAAAAAGTGTATGTGATGTGTATATTTTATAAACGATAAAATATGCACATCATATACACTTTTTACAGTGAATAGATGGGCAAGAGACAAGACCCACACTGCAAATAAGGCTTCCCATGCAAAGGAGGCCTAACACTGTCATACAATAAGTCCTCACCTAACATCGTCGATAGGTTCTTGGAAATTGCGACTTTAAGCAAAATGATGTATGATTAAACCAATTTTACCATAGGCTAATTGATATAAACATCAAGGGTGCACAGTGAACCTTTAGCACTCATTGCAACAGGGTTAAATCATGGAATACATGTTTGCAGAGCAAAAATTTTAAGGATCACTACCAACCACCACGGTGGGAACCAACCCTGTACAGGACGTCATTCCCTCGCAGAGCTTGTGCGCGTGCACACACACACATACACACACACGTCACTTTGACGTTTTTGTATTAAAGGTAATCTACACGTAAGCTGCTATTTATGATAATTTATGTAACTATTTATGTGTACCTATACTTGAATAAACATACACTCTCATACTGGGGCAATTTCAACACACCAGTTAACCTAACGTGCACATCTCTGGGATGTGGGAGGAAACTGGAGTACAGTGGAACCTCAAATATCGAACTTAATCCGTTCCAGGAGCTAGTTCTAAATTCGAAAAGTCTGAAAATCGAAGCAATATTTCCCATAAGAAATAATGGAAATACAATTAATCCGTTCCAGAAACACAAAAATATTCACAGTTTTACATACACACAACAAATACTATATTGTTCAATTATGTATATAAATATAAAAGAACATTTTTACTTACCTTTATTGAAGATTGGTGATGGCATCTGGAAGATAGGGAGGAGGAGAGAGGGAGTTGGGATTAGTGTTTGGAAGGAGAATCCCATTCCATGAGTACTTCAGGTAAAGCCCTCTCTGGGGTTACTTCCCTTCTCTGTCTTTTAATGCCACCAGGACCAGCTTAAGAGTCACTGGACCCCTGTCTCACAAAATAACTGTCCACAGTCCTCTGTTTCTGGCACCTCTTTAACATTTCCCTAAAATGGGGCATGGTTCTGTCACTGAACTGGTTCCAGGAGTTTTCTGTACCAGATCAGTATGCAACTTCCTTGCCTTTTCGCATATACTAATCGTCTTTGAAACACTATCACCTGCCATCTCTTTATCCTTGATCCACACCAGCAACAACTTCTCAACCTCTTCAACTATTTGTGGTCTTTTTTTGGTTAGCATATTAACTCTTTTCGCAACATCAGCTTCCTTGATTTGTTCTTTCTTTGCCAGGATAGAACTGATGGTCGACTTGTTTTTCCCATACATCTTGGCAAGCTCAGCAAGTCTCACACCACTCTCATACTTCTGTATTATTTCCTTCTTCACATCTATGGTGTTTCTCACTTTCTTTACCACAGGGGTACCACTAGCAAGTTTCTTTGGGCCAATGGTAGCTTATTTCACAGTCCCACAAGCACTAAACACAATGAAATAATCGTAAAATGTTTGAGTGAGAGCGCAGGTTAGTGTTCACTAAAGCATCAACAAAGCCAGACTGGCTCGGTGGCCTGGTGGCTAAAGCTCCCGCTTCACACACGGAGGGCCCGGGTTCGATTCCCGGCGGGTGGAAACATTTCGACACGTTTCCTTACACCTGTTGTCTTGTTCACCTAGCAGCATATAGGTACCTGGGTGTTAGTCGACTGGTGTGGGTCGCATCCTGGGGGACAAGATTAAGGACCCCAATGGAAATAAGTTAGACGGTCCTCGATGACGCACTGACTTTCTTGGGTTATCCTGGGTGGCTAACCCTCCGGGGTTAAAAATCTGAACGAAATCTTATCTCACTGCGCCTGCGCAGGGACGCGGACAGAGCAGGCTGGTGGACAAGTCCGGTACCCAGCGGTCCGAAAATAGGGGCGCGTTCAATAATAGGGACAAAGTTGGTTCGAAAAAAGGGTTCTATTTTTGAAACGTTCAATAAGTGATACGTTTGAAATTTGAGGTCCCACTGTACCTGGAGAAAACCCACACAGACATGGGAAGCGTGCGAACTCCACACAGACAGTAGCCCTGGCCAGAGTCAACTTTTTCTCATCAACACTATGATGAAACGACGTTAAGTGAGGTCTTACTGTGTATCATTGGTTTGCAACCTTTTTTGTGACCTCAAAATGTTCGCTTGCAGAATCTTCCAACTATCATGCTTGTGATCAAATTTAAGTAACATATGTATAACAAATCTTAACATACTTACAGTATATATATGAATCACATGTGAAAAATCAGGTATATGGACTAGAGTTCACATTTATAGTTACAGTTAACAGTTAAAGCCACAGTTGATAATAAACTGCCATAATTTAAATAAATTCATAACAAATAGTTCTGGAAATATTGGGATCAGAAAGACAAAAGAAAAAAAAAAAGGTCCCCACAATAAAATTAAGTATCTTTACCTATGCGAACATTCCACAGAGTTTGACAGGTTCAAGCAAGAAAGTGAGAGTTTGCAATTCTCAGGAGTACAGATGTCTTTCCAGCTTAATTTGGCCAGTTCTGCCACCCAAAATATTTCATAAATATGGTTATACTGAATATCAAGAAACTGTGTAGTTTTTATGTAGTTCTCGATCTTTATATTATCTCAGACGAGATTGAGCGGTTTTTTCCTAACCATTCAAGTGAACAAAACAACGCATGTGCCTTCTTTGAGTATACAAGCCATAGTACATGTATCTGTATATTTCCCTTGATATCATTAAAGGGTTCTTCAAAGGCATTTGAGCCTCCCTCCCATTCCTTGAATTATACCTGATTACTTCCTCTTCTCCAGTCGCTGTGGGACAGATACAGTTGTTAGAGTAATCCTCGATTGATCATGAATAGTTTGTATCCACATTTTAACACAATCCATGCAGAGCAAGAGAATTACATTAGATTAATATTATTTTTATCCCAATCAACGTTAATTTAACTCCGTAACTAAATGTGAAAAATCAGCAACATAAACCTTGAGTGTTCCACGATCAGCCATCTTGAGTATGTCTTCAGCCCCCCAGAAAGCTCCTGCTGGCAGGTAGAGACCATGTGAGGTGGCTGCTTCCCGCAGCTCCTCTTCCACTGCTTGTGTGGCCAGAGCAGTAGGTGACCCAACCATGTAGTCCGCAACACCAAGTAACATTGATCCATACTGCATGAGAGAACGCCGCACAGTACTAGGCTATGATGAACCTTATAATATATCATTATATTCACAACAAAAATAAACCTGTGATGTTGCCGGCCTCTTGATCTAAAGAAAGAGAGCTGTTCTCTTCCTCAAATCAAACTTGATTACCTCCCATTTCAGAGGCACTACATGACCTTCTGGTTTTAGCACTTCCCAATGATTATATTAATGAAAATTAAGTCCTGTGAGTTAGTCTGTAAAATTAGTGAAGGGAAAATACATCCATTTACGACATCTTTATTGAATTATTTGTTACTTTTCCGTCCTGGGACCTTGATAACCCCAAATGATATAAAAGAATGAAAAAATACAGTATATATAGTTAAGAATGAATTCAAATCAGATGTGATGTCAGGTGAAGGTGCGAGGTTCCCTAATTGCCACGAAACGGGACTTGAGCCAAGAGGCAGCAAGTAGGAGTATCATGTGTGCTCAAGTTGATTGATTGACTTGTTCTGTGGTACTGAAAGTAGCAATCAAGGATGTTGTGGAAAATTGCATTTATCTGAATGTAACTAATTATATATATAACAGAAAATGATAACAAAGATAATTATTATTTATCAGAGTTACATAGACAAGTAGGAATTTGGGACACCTAGGTCGCAAAAAATGTCCCCCTTCGATACCTACCACTGTCATAACCACAAGTTGCTCTGGACCTATTAATTAAATGAAATATGCATACACCAGGAATACTGGTAAATATATAAATTTGTGGACTGTATATTAAAAATAATAAATGGTTATATATATACACAATTACATACCAGAAGGAAAATATATCTTAATATCACTCACCAATTTGACTGGATATTAAATTGTATCATACTCAGAAAAACCTCACTAACTAAATTTTTGAAAACACTGGCCAGAATTATACACAAATCTAGAGAGCTTATCTGAGGTTCCTGGAGCTGTCTTGTCCAGTCGTCTGATATCTCAAGTTATGCAGGAATGTATGTCCAACAATTTTGCCTCCTATTTGAGAGGTGTCAGCCCAATTTTAACCTCTAGAGCACAAAAATTCTTCCCCATTCACCAACGTTTCTAATACAAAATTCAAAACCAAGATGGCGAGTCTCTCGTCTGCGCAGACGCAGGCTTTCCGTTTTCTATGACATAAATATTATTAAATACAGTATGGCCATCTATTTACATATAAATACTGAATTTCTGGAAAATATATACAGTATTTTCCACAGATGTATTTATACAGCGGTATCTATTCCTGTCAGTTTTTTCTGAAGATAATATTTACATTGGAACATGAGATGGCCATCTCATGCACTGGAACATGAGATGGCCATGTCATGTACTTTTACACGAGATGACCAATTCATATACATACCCTGAAACAACAGAGAAATGATCTTCAGAGAACCCAACATGAATGCACACTGTTGTATATACATATCCTTTATTAACTGGTACAGTGGACCCTCGACTAACGCTATTAATCCATTCCTGAGAGCTCATCGTTAGTCAAGTTAATTTTCCCCATAAGAAATAATGGAAATCAAATTAATCCTTGCAAGACACCCAAAAGTATTGAAAAAAAAAAAATTTAACACATGAAATATTAATTTTAATACACACAAACTGAAGAAGACATGCACAGTTACATGACACTTACCTTTATTGAAGATCTGGTGATGACTGATGGGATGGGAAGAAGAGAGTGTGTTGATGGTCTTAGTGTTTAGAAGGGGAATCCCCTTCCATTAGGACTTGAGGTGGCAAGTCCTTTTTCGGGGTTACTTCCCTTCTTTTAATGCCACTAGGACCAGCTTGAGAGTCACTGGACCTCTGTCGCACAACATATCTGCCCATAGAGGCCTGTACCTCCCGTTCCTTTATGACATTCCTAACGTGTTTCACAACATTGTCAGTGTCACCATTAAACACTTGTTCAGGTTTCAGTCCTTCACTGTCTATGTACTCCTTGAATTCCTGCACATATTTTTCAGCTGCTTTTTGGTCCAAACTGGCAGCCTCACCATGCCTTATCACACTATGTATGCCAGTACGATTCTTAAATCTCTCAAACCAACCTTTGCTGGCCTTAAATTCACTCACATCACCACTAGTTGCTGGCATTTTTCTAATTAAATCGTCATGCAACTTCCTAGCCTTTTCACATATGATCGCTTGAAAGATGCTATCTCCTGCTATCTGTTTTTCGTTTATCCATACCAATAACAGTCTCTCAACATCGTCTATCACTTGCGATCTCAGTTTCAAAAACATAGTTGCACCTTTGGCAAGAACAGCTTCCTTGATTGCCGTTTTCTTGGCCACAATAGTAGCGATGGTTGATTGGGGTTTTGTGTACAGCCTGGCCAGCTCGGAGACATGCACTCCACTTTCATACTTAGCAATGATCTCTTTCTTCATATCCATAGTAATTCTCACCCTTTTTGCTGTAGGGTTGGCACTAGAAGCTTTCTTGGGGCCCATGGTGACTTATTTTGCAGGTGCAATCACTAAAAAGGCTGTGATAATATGAAATGTTCAGATTGTATGCTTGGAAGTGACCGCGGTGGCTGGCTGGCTTGTAAACACTGGCCAGAAGTGGACGCGTCTCAGACGGAAGGAATAGTGTTGGTCGAGTTTTTTAGCGCTAATCGAGGCAAAATTTTTGCGATGAAATGTATCGCTAGTCAGATTTATCATTAATCGATGCCATCGCTGGTCGAGGGTCCACTGTACTTCCAAAACCATAGAACAAAGGGCTAGCAACTACTACACTCAACAGTTCTAGCACATATGTTACTACTACATGCTGCTTCTCAGTTGTCAAGTGACACTTCAATTAGGGGACCTCCTGCCTACACCTGACCATCATCTGTGATTTGCATTCTCTAGTATGTACTGTGATTTCTCATTTTTTTATACCATTTGGGGTTATGCAGTATGAAAATGTCTTTCTCGCATCACGCAGCAACAATAATACATTTAGTTTCTACCGGAGGTCCTTTGGTCATTCCTCACAATTCGAACCACAACAGTCAGCTAACACCTAGTGACCCAGGTACCTAAAATTAGGTGACCCAGGTACCTATTTATAGCTAGGTGAACAGGCACGACAGGTGTAAGTCATGTAACACACATGTGCAACGTCTCCACTTGCCCCAGGTCGTTTGGTTGTAAGCCACAGGGGCTACCAGTCAGGCAAATCCTCCAAGACTCACTATTTCATCAAGTTTACCAACATTCGTACATTAAATATAATAACTTAGCATTGAGAACTCATAAAAGAGTAAATCGTAACAATGTGGGTAAAGCAGACAGGCTCTATTGTGTCGTTTATAGGAAACATATTGAAGTTATTGTACTGATTTTTTTAAAATGTTACAATAAATTGTAGCCTATTTCACTGCAATGCACCTAATTTTAAATTTATTTTAATTCAAATGGAAACTGAAGAGACATATGAGAGAATATCATACTGTCAGATACAATGAAGACATGAATCACTAGATTAAACCTGTACGAGTTTAGTGTTTGAGGAAATTTTTGAAGTTTCCTAAATTCAGCATGTATAAATGAATAATATAATAACTGCGTATTAAAATATGATTCTATTTGGACCCTTTGAGAAATTTCGAGTAAAAGGGGGGAGGTAGAACAGCTGCTGAGTGATGCAGATGAGGAAACACCATAATGAATTTAATGTGTTAACACTGGTCTGAATTGTACAATGTCATCAGGCCTTCTCGAAGGTCAATTGGTGTATATCGGCCTCAATCCATAATTTACAAATTGCTGACATGTTCCTGCTGAAGAACTGGGATAAATAATGTGAAAAACCCTTACATTTCGGCAACAGGAATGGAAAAATAGAGGACACCGATTCTTCCTAGGAGCACACCTTGGCTAAGTGATGCTTACCTATAACGTACAGTAGTTTTGGATTGGGCGTGTTTCCTAAAAATAATAATTATGATCCAGTAATTAAATGGGGAGTGCTCATTATATAGTATACATATACATATATATTTTTTTGTAAATGTATACTCAACAGATCCCCCCCCTTTCTTTTCAAGTCATAAACCATCATCATACAGTCCATTCAGTATCTTGTAATTTACCAACATTATTGGTATTAATTTTATGTTGTAAAATTTGATAGGCCCGACTTTGTGGGTGGGAGTGTGTGTGCTGGTCTCGGAGGAGAGGCATGGTGCAGCCTAGTATCTCTAAAATCCCACCTGGCACCGAGGTACAACTACCTGGAGTTTACCTGGAGATGGTTTCGGGGGTCAACGCCCCCACGGCCCAGTCTGAGACCAGGCCTCACGGTGGATCAGGGTCTTATCAACCAGGCTATTACTGCTGGCCGCACGCCAACTAACGTTGGCAAGTACAATAAATTTTTGCTTAGTTGTGCCCCCCTCAAATTATGTGGATGAAACATTTCAGGAATGTACCTGTGAACCTCGTCCCCATAATTTCCCATAGTGTTCTTGTCAATGTAATAATAATAATAATAATAATAATAATAATAATAATAATTATAATAATAATAATAATAACCACCTTAACAACAACAATAATCCAGAGTTCAATAATAGTATCCCAGAAAAAGCAGTTCTTTCCTCCATTATTATTTGTGATATTAGTTTCTGCTGTGTTGGGGGAAAATTGTAAATCCCTGGAGGTGATTGCGATTATACTGACCTTGTGAGAGATGAGAGGATGGGCCACCTCAACAACCAGGTCAGGGGAGTAGGATGCACAGTCCTCTAAGTCCCGACAAATCTGTCTGGAAATGATACATTCATTTTTTTCACACAGTTCATTTTACAATTTATGATCTGTTTTCCATCCTCAGCTCAGTTTAAAGTCAGGCTCTGTCCATGGTACAATATAACTACTTTTCTTAATATAACCACCTCATCTTATTTACTTACCTGTCCTCTAGGCGAGTCTCCAGGGAGGCTGAGGTGCGATTCCAGACGAATGCCAGGTCCAAGTCAGGTCGCTCCAAGACAGCCTGGGTCAGGTATTGACCTGAAAAAGATATCTTTAAGGATAACTCAACAAGCAGTATTTCCAGTGTGGTTCCTTCCCTAGGTTGCGACCCAGAGTGTGGGTTTGTGATTACCTATTGTTACAGCAGGAAAACCATGCTCGTGGTTTCTCGACTTCAGTATTCGGCTTTTCATATTACTGTTTTAAGGCTGCAGTTGTAACACACACTGCTTCCTTTAGGATCACATTCCAGCTCTTTGTTGTCCTGTATGTGAAGCAATATTTTGTACCCTTTTGGTGCCGCTCTTTATAACCTAAACTAATCTGTTGTTCTTCTGTTGATTGTGTCAATAAATCTTCCTTATCAATTTCCTCGTATATCTTATAAGCTTCTATTATTATATGATCAACATTTATTATCACTGCCGTTTCCCTACCAAGGAGAACATTACCTAATCTTCGCACTTTACATTTCTTAATTCTGTGTTCATATCATTAGAGTTAAAATTCACATATTCTCACTCATGACTCATTATCTCAATCACTCGAGACATTATTACTCACGCGTCTCATTCTTGTTCATGACTCACTCGAACCTAGTGCTCCCGCCCTTTCTATATAAATAGCCTACATTAGAAGGTCATGTGTATGATATGGGCTGCATCTTGAAGCTGAAAGTTGACTACTGTATTAATTAACATTAATTTTAGGTATTTTCCCCTCAAAGTGAAAAAAGAAACAAATGAGGGTTCCTTAAAGCAGGAGAAAGTGTGAAAACGTTCCTTCATAGACCAGCTTCACAAACATCTTTCCCAGGAAAGTTTGCACCGTAGCATGTCGGACACCAGTTTTCCTTTACCTTGCAACTTTAAAACTAAATTATTCAAATGTTGTGTTACATCACTCAAGAAAGTCAGATGCCAGATCCATTCTGGGTCAGGAAATTTTACTTGGCGCAGAACAAACAATCGTTTGTTGAGGACCTTACCTCGTATCAGTCACTTGTACTTTATCATGGGAGTGATTATGTCGGAGGATCTCACCTTCAAGGACCATAACATTGTATCAATCGCATCTGCTAGAAAAATGACAGGATGGATAATGAGAACCTTCAAAACTAGGGAGGCCAAGCCCATGATGACACTCTTCAGGTCACTTGTTCTATCTAGGCTGGAATATTGCTGCACTCTAACAGCACCTTTCAAGGCAGGTGAAATTGCCGACCTAGAAAATGTACAGAGAACTTTCACGGCGCGCATAACGGAGATAAAACACCTCAATTACTGGGAGCGCTTGAGGTTTCTAAACCTGTATTCCCTGGAACGCAGGAGGGAGAGATACATGATTATATACACCTGGAAAATCCTAGAGGGACTAGTACCGAACTTGCACACGAAAATCACTCACTACGAAAGCAAAAGACTTGGCAGACGATGCACCATCCCCCCAATGAAAAGCAGGGGTGTCACTAGCACGTTAAGAGACCATACAATAAGTGTCAGGGGCCCGAGACTGTTCAACTGCCTCCCAGCACACATAAGGGGGATTACCAACAGACCCCTGGCAGTCTTCAAGCAGGCACTGGACAAGCACCTAAAGTCAGTTCCTGATCAGCCGGGCTGTGGCTCGTACGTTGGTTTGCGTGCAGCCAGCAGCAACAGCCTGGTTGATCAGGCGCTGATCCACCAGGAGGCCTGGTCACAGACCGGGCCGCGGGGGCGTTGACCCCCGAAACTCTCTCCAGGTAAACATCAATATTGTCTGCATGTTTCATACAAGAAGCTTTGAAACTAGCGATCTTTCAGGCAATAGTGCCAGGTAGAAATGCACGCTTGACACAACAGTACTCATCACATTTTTAAACCGGAGAATCCTACTGCACAAAGCCTGGTGGTGAATAATGAGTAAGACATTTTCAGCGCTTAGGTATCTATACAAATTAAACGTTTCGCCTGCGCAGAAGATTTCAACAGTCGAATATTGACAATATAATCCTCTCTACTCGCCTAGTTGTGGTTGCAGGGGTCGAGTCACAGCTCCTGGCCCCGCCTCTTCACTGGTCGCTACTAGGTCACTTCCTGCTCCGTGAGCTTTATCATATTCCTTCTTAAAGCTATGTATGGATCCTGCCTCCACCACATCACTCCCCAGACTATTCCACTTCCTGACAGCTCTGTGACTGAAGATATACTTCCTAACATCCCTGTGATTTATCTGAGTCTTTAACTTCCAACTGTGTCCCCTTGTTGCTGTGTCCCATCTCTGGAACATCCTTTCTCTGCCCACCTTGTCGATTCCTCTCAGTATTTTATATGTCGTTATTATATCCCCCCTATCTCTCCTGTCCTCCAGTGTCGTCAGGTCGATTTGCCCTAACCTCTCCTCGCATTCGACTGAAGAAGCCTGCTGAGGCAGGTGAAAATTTTCGATCATAACGATACCCAAGTGTTGCACATGTGTCTTACTCATCAACTTGGTATTGTATATAATTTATATTGATATATTTTCATTAATTCTTGCAGCTACACCAATTTTACTTGCAACCATCCTTTGACTACTTGCAACCATACTTGCACCACTTGCAACCATCCTTGCACCACGTGAAACCATCCTTGCACCATTTGCAACCATCCTTGCACTACTTGCAACCATCCTTGCACCACTTCCAACCATCCTTGCACCACTTGCAACCATCCTTGCACTACTTGCAACCATCCTTGTACCACTTGCAACCATCCTTGCACCATTCTTGCAGCTACACCAGTTTTACTTGCAACCATCCTTTGACTACTTGCAACCATCCTTGCACCACTTGCAACCATCCTTGCACCACGTGAAACCATGACAGGATGGATAATGAGAACCTTCAAAACGAGGGATGCCAAGCCCATGATGACACTCTTCAGGTCACTTGTTCTATCTAGGCTGGAATATTGCTGCACACTAACAGCACCTTTCAAGGCAGGTGAAATTGCTGACCTAGAAAATGTACAGAGAACCTTCACGGCGCGCATAACGGAGATAAAACACCTCAATTACTGGGAGCGCTTGAGGTTCCTGAACCTGTATTCCCTGGAACGCAGGCGGGAGAGATACATGATTATATACCCCTGGAAAATCCTAGAGGGACTAGTACCGAACTTGCACACGAAAATCACTCACTACGAAAGCAAAAGACTTGGCAGACGATGCAACATCCCCCCAATGAAAAGCAGGGGTGTCACTAGCACGTTAAGAGACCATACAATAAGTGTCAGGGGCCCGAGACTGTTCAACTGCCTCCCAGCATACATAAGGGGGATTACCAACAGACCCCTGGCAGTCTTCAAGCTGGCACTGGACAAGCACCTAAAGTCGGTTCCTGATCAGCCGGGCTGTGGCTCGTACGTTGGTTTGCGTGCAGCCAGCAGTAACAGCCTGGTTGATCAGGCTCTGATCCACCAGGAGGCCTGGTCACAGACCGGGCCGCGGGGGCGTTGACCCCCGGAACTCTCTCCAGGTAAACTCCAGGTAATTGGTGGTCACACTTCAGTTGCTCACACCACAGGTTCACTCACTATTATAAATAAATTTTCTGCAGTACTAGTATAGTATCTTTCAGAACATGCAGTGCATAAAACTCCGTAATTTAAAAAATTTAATATATTTCCCTAATAAAAATTCGAAGTTGAACAGTGACTGTGATGGCACTGCTTTTATCTAGTGCCACAAAGAGTAAAGTTTATAATGTGCTGCTTTGTTAATCAATGTGTAATACAGCTCTTCTACGTCGCCTGGTGAATGTAGATGCAGAAAACTTAGGTTGCTGATACAAGCATTACCTTTGTAACTTGCCATGATTGTGACCAGATCTATCTGGAGTTCATTACCTTTGTAACTAGTTCAGCTATCAAAACTTTGGAGTCCAGTCCCTGGACCCATTATGTACCTCTGTAATCTTTTGACTACCGCCCACAGGATGGGTATGGGGTGACTACCACCCAGAGGATGAGTATGGGGTGCATAATAAAGATATTAAACTGCAATTGATACAAGCAGCCTTGTCAGGGAACATTTCATCTATTACTTTCCCCATGCACTGTCGCATGGTCTGTCGTTCTCCGCAATAAAGTATTTAGCTACGTGCTTGCTAGCTTGCACTTTAGATACATATTCATCATTGCGCCTTTTAAAAACGTTTTACTGTTGAGACAAAAATCTGTTGAGTGGCCAGATTTTATTTGTTCGCGCTTCTCCTTGAAGCAATGAGCAGTCCGTATATCGTTAAATATGGAGATACTTTCATTGAATATCAGGCCAGTTTGTCACTGCATAAAACAAAAACAAAAAATCATTAGTCCACTTCTCATGGCGTTCTCCTATCTTTAAAGTAGAAGGCTTTGTCGCAGCTATATTTTTAGCAACAGCCTAGATAGGACTATGGTGACATTAACATATATTTTTAACAACAGTCTGAAGAGGACTGTGGTGACATTAACACTTTCACTGCTGTCTTCACTGCATCTCCCATCCTACAATGTGCCTCCCTGCACTGCACCTCCCATGTCTACGCTATGCCTCTTTACCACCACTGGGTATCTCTGCCTTCACTATGCATCCCCTCTCCCATTATAATTTAAAATTATACACATTTACATACATGAGGGTGTAAAGCTGGGCAGGAAGCTATACCTGGAGTATACCTGAAGGGTATTCCAAGGGTTAACGCCCCTGCTGCCCGATCCATGATCAAGCCTCGTGGTGGATCCTTGCCTGATCAGTCAGGCAATGCCACAGTTAATTTTTTTTCTAAAGGTTCAGATCCGTGTTGCTTAGGATATCTTCCCAGCTTGTTTGATTTAAGACATGGTTAATTTAATCCCACTGTATGTTTCTGTTATTGAAGTTGAATTTGGTGAAGGCACTCTCATAACTGATCTCACTTTGTTGGTCAGGAGCCATGCTATTATGTTGTGATCTGAGTGTATTGTCTATGATACTGCTATATTTCGTACCAGATCATCGTTATTAGCGAAGATAAGGTCAAGTGTATTTTCCAG